ACTTTGGTAAATTAAAAGTCATTTCATCTGAATTATAACCAAAATCCAAATTATATGAACTTTTAACACTTAAAGCTTAAGTTGATATTAAGATATTGCCGATGGCTTAAAATACAGCATATCCTTCTCAAAATGATAGATATTATAATTTTGAGGGCTGTATAGATTCTTGCGAAATAGATTATATTCTAATTTTTGAATATACTTATTATTTTAAATGTTTTTATTTAAATTAGAGAGCCAATACCAGTATTGTACTGATTATCTTATGAGTGGAATTAAAAGTAATTATAAGACTTTTTAGAAAACTTTGAATTTATATGATGGAATAGTTACAGATAAGAGTATAGACGAATTGGATAATGTCAAAATTGAAGATAATACTAGTATTAGTAATGAAATTTTCTTTAGATAATAATATTGATTAACTTTTCGAAAGAACTGTAAAATAATAAAATCAATTTTATTGAGAATCTGGCTTATTATATATCTACTTTTATTTGGCTAAATCATTTGTACATTATAAAATATTAATAAAAATTACTATTATTTTTCTTATTACAATATTTTATAATCGTTTATTATACTTATTAATTGATTCCTTAATTTACTTTTATTAATTTAGTGATGCATTTAAGAGACACTTTTTTTTTGATTTAATCATTAAAAAGTTATGTGATTTTATCAGCTAATAGAATTTTAACAATAATAAAAAATGATCTGTAAAAATTAGCCAATCATATTGAAAGTTTGCAAACTTGCCTGCAAAAATTCTGAAATTCAAGTTTCATTTATTTTTTGAATTTATTAATTAACTTAAAAATTTTTTTTTATTAATTGATAATTCATCTTTTGAATAATTATTTCATAATATATTTATACTTTCTTTTATAACAAAAGTGCCATTACTTATTTTCTTAAATTAAACAATTTTTTAATCCGAATAAAATATCTGAAAATTGTTTTATTCACCTTGACGATCTTTTCAAATATTTGCTATAGCTATACATATAATATATATAAATTGTAAATTTCAACATGAATTTTATTAATCACAATATAAAAATTGATTAAAATATATCCAATTTTAACTTCATATAGTAATAAAAATTAGTAATAAAGTCTATTATTCAGTAATCTCATAAAAATCTTTAAAACACGAACATTGTTTGTTACAATATAATGCTATGCTACAATTACTACACCAAATTTGTGATTGGGAAGGATTTTTTGAAGATGCTTCATTATTTTTTCTACTGGTATAGCGACACCATAAACAAGCATCTCTTCTGTCTTTATGTTCTGAAAAATGATCTCTACCAATAAATCTATTTGCAGGTAGTTCGAAACTATTTGTTACCTATATTTTTTATATCTTTTTCTTTAATCTGGTCTTGATCTTCACTGTGTGTTATTCTTTTTAAAGGATTATTTGTTGCATCCTTAATTAAATCACGAACTAACTGCAATCTAAAAGTTTTATGATTTTCACATAATTTTAATTTTTTACAAATAATAAAAGAATTAATGATTGCAGTATCAAGGAGCCAAAAAAATAAAGGCATCTATGTCCTTCGAACTATTAGTTGTGTTGAATAATAGCTTTGTAACTGGTTTGCAATATCTACTCTGCCTATATGATAGTTGTAATCATTAATTATTTTTGGAATAGGTAAAATTTTGCGAACTGATTCTCCAAATACTAATTTAACTTTTTTACTATTTGTGCTAGTTTCTCATAGTTTTTTCTATTTTCTGTTAATTTTGCTGTCTTCTTCATCAATGACATGTATAGTTGTAAGAATAGTTACTGGACTATTATCAATCCAAAGTAATGCTAAAACATTATTTACTACTACACCTTTTAAATGATCCCACTCTAGATCTTTTCTTTCCTTTTCTTTTTTTAAAACAATAGGAAATTTTGCAGTATTCGTACGAACTGTACTGCATGCTTCATAACCATTATTTCGAAGAAAATTAAACAAATTTATTCCAGAAAAATAGTTATCCATAAAAATGTTAAAGGCCTTATAAAATGGAAGTTGATTTACTGGATGATAAACTTCAGCTCCAATTTTATTGACATTAGGAATTAGATTAACATCAGAAGGTTTAATTCATGATATAAATATAAAAGTGTATGTATAACCTGAATCACACAATAATAGAATTTTATAGCCTTCTGGAATAGGTTTGTTTTTAATGCAATATGTATGACCACTTTACCCAGAAAATCTAACGATCATTTCATTAATAGATACATTAGAGGCAGGAATATAGAGTTGTTTTGATATAATGCGAATATATAATGCGAAAGGTTCAAGTTTTGTAAACATATCTGGTGGTTTTGTAATACAATCTAAAATATGTAAATATCGCTTAATGTAAATTTTAAAAAAATTTAATTTAGTTTAAAATTATCTAAATTAAATCAATAATATTAAAAAAATAACTTATCTGTTAAAATTTAAATAAAGTCATTAACTTAGTTATTTCGTGTAATGGATAATATATATCCTTTTTCCAATAATCTTCAATTGCCAGAAATTTAAATATACCTATATTTTAAACTCTTGAATATTTAATTCAGTCCAATTATGACCTTCACCTACTAAATTACTTCTTCCTTCTTTTACATTATGTATATAAGCATATATATTTGTATTATCTATAATAGTTTCCATCTGTTGACTAGAAAAAAATTTATGAAAGATAAAATAAGGTTGAATCTCTAATTCTAAATCTTTATTAGAAAAATTTGCATATGCTTCATGTAAGGAATATGTATGTTCAAATGGAATAAAATTTCCTGATAAATCATATATAGATTCTTTTTTGCATCACTAGCTTTTTTTTTTACTTTTCCCTTAACTTTTTCTTTTAAATCAGGCTCTAATTGATCAATTTCTTCATCGGATTCATGATTATTTTGATTAAAATAACAAATATAAACTTCATTATCATTTTGTAAAGAATCAATTGTCTCAGACATAATGAAAGAATTGTGTGAGAAAATTGTATGAAAGACAAAATTTTAACAGGTTTATTGACTTAAAAAAGTTAAAGAACTTCGCAGGCAAATTTGCCTGCCCTACAGTTGAAACGCACTCTAGTAATTTAAAAAAATTACAAAAAAGGAAATGCGCAGTAAGTTTGAAATGATTGATAATAAAATAATAATATAATAATTTAAAATAAAAATAAAAATTAAAAGTTCGCAGACAAATTTGCCTGCGAATAATTGCATAAATTTTGTAGTTTGTAAAATTTTTTTTTTACTTAATTAAGTAGACTAAAAATTTTATCCGATATGTAATAATAGTCAAGTAATATAATATTATATTTATTTTGCCAATCCTAATTATATTTAATAAATTTTTTGTATAAAAATCAAAATTTAAAAAATTCGCAGGCAAATTTGCCTGCTCTACAGTTTAAGGGATGATGAAAATGAATAGAATTTATCAGCTAAAACTAAAATTTCTTTGGCACTTTGTATTAATTATCATTTGAATTGAAACACAATATAAATAACCCATAACTTACTACAATGATTTTTTGTTAAAATAACTGCTTTTACTATAATAGGTATTCACTTAAAATTAAAAAATAAATGGAATTGAATAATTAACAAACCTATAATCACCAAAAAAAATGGTAACCGAATAGCAGTATATTTTGTTGATCAAATTAATATTATTTCGATGCATAGTATCTTATGAATATGAAATCTCTAAGAAATACTGGTTATATCATATCATTTTCTGGCATCGTGCGAGATGACGAATATATTCATCTGGCGCGGCGTTGTTTTCGGTGGGTAAGTATATTCCCATATAATAATCCATTAGTTAAATTTATATTTGGAATGAAATTCAACCATACATTTTCCATTTAAAGTTAAGCATCATTATTTTTTATTATTTTTTATTTTTAAAAAAAACACAAATCGAAAAAAATATTGGCGGGTACCAGAAAAAAAAATATGTAGAAATGCTTTAATATTTATAAAGGGAAAAAAAGCACTTGTCGTTACGAATCAACTTGTAGCGTTTGCACTAAATAATTCTCGAAATTCGATCACTTTTATATGGCATTATTTTTTTGAGGGAATTTTTAAAGAATTAGTTATGAGATAATAACAAAAACGTTAATATTTTGTTTTTTAATTTATTTATATTGTATTTTAATATTGATGTCCGACAAAATAACTTGCAAAACGTTTAAACCAGAGAGCAAATTGAAATATCTTAAATTTTGTTTAGGGAAGTTCAATAGGGCATTTCTATTTTGTTTTTATAGTAATCGACAACTTTTTAGGATGCTCATTTTGTAAATATTTGAGATTCCTTAATTTAAATTTTTATTCATTTAATAAACGACGAGGATGACAAAAAGTTAATAAATATATCAATGAACATTTTTTAATGTATTAATAATTAATTACAGATGCAATGAAGATCTTATAATAAAGGTTTTCAAGATTTCTGCAAGTTTATTAGCTTTGATGGGTTTGGTTGTTGATGAATTAAGGAATCCACTCTGTAACTTTATCCGAGTATTTGAATTAGGGCTTCCGTTTGAAATTTAACTTGAGTTTTATATATTAGAAATTTTTTTTACATGATATATAAATTCAAACTTTTGGTAAAGACAAACTGGCCAGAGGGCAATACTAGAGGACGATTTAAATTTGACATTTGTCTAGAAGACGATACATATAAGCCGGAGGGCAAATTGGTCGATAAAGATAATATCTAAATAATTTCTAAACTAAATTTATTGTTCATGGTCTTATATGAACTAGCTCTTTCACGTTTAATGATTTCTAACCCACCCTACAATCCTTATTCCACCTTTACCTTATACCACCAGTCCATTATTGTCGATAATTATATTCCTTCTTTATCAAGTTTCAAATCGAAATGTTTATAATTACTCAATAATGATTCTTGGTATAAGTATTATGGTTCAATAAGAAATTGACTCAATGCTCTTCATATTATCCGAATTTTGAAGATTTCACGAAGAATTTGAGAACCATCAGGATATTCATCAAGTATATTGCTTAGATTAAATTCTTCACCATTTCTTGCATATTTATGAATTAAGGCAACACTTTAATCAAAATTTATTCGAATTGATTTACCGGGTTCTTACTTTTCTTTCTTAATCTTTACATATTTTATAGTATCACTTGGGCCTAAAAAAAAATCAAAATCAGATTGATATTATAAATCAGACGGTTATGTAAAATATAAAAAATAAATCAAATGTATTTACCATTTTGAAAAAAGCTAGGTTTTTCTTTTTTATCGGGTTCTTCCTTTTCTTTCTTAATCTGTTCTTTTTTTATAAATTTGATAGTGCCACTTGGGCCTAATTACAAAAAAAAAATAAATAAACGTTCATGTAAAATATTACAAATAAATAAAACATAATTACTTACCATTGGGAAAAAATAAAATTCCATTGTTGACACCTTTTTTGACAGCTAATCGGAGACGTTTGTTTGTAAGGTTGTTGTCGGGAAGTTTATATGTAGTCAAAATGTAATTTTTAATAGCTTGACGGCTATTATTAATGAATAAAACAAATTATGTGAAAATTTATTAGAAAGAGAAAAAACTTTGAAACATATGAACTAAAAAAATATTCATAACCTGCTTCCTTTACGTTCATTCAAAGCGACGATAGCTTCTGAAAATTATTAGTAAATTAATAAAAAGTTTTTGATGCGCATTTCTTTTATTTATTTTTTTAATCAAGAAAAACATTTTCTGAAGTATTTCGTCGGTTCTCTTTTTGAAATTAACAAAAATCAAGTGACTTATTTCATAACTATACCTTGAATCATAACTTCGTATTTCGGATGGCTTGCTACCTCTTTTGGATTTACTTGACTTGAGCTCTCTTTTGCAATTGTTTCCGTTTCGGTGAAAAAAGAAAAAGAGTTATTTTCCAGTTTTTTTTTTGATCGTTGCATCGATCAATTTTTATTTTTAATTAATGATATTTTTTTTCTGCCTTATTATTATTATAGCCGAACTAAGAAAATGTGCTTTTATTTTATAATTTGAAGAAATTATATTTATCGGCTGTTGTCTTTCAAAAAAAAATTAAAATCTTTTGTGATAAATATGTTGGTTAAACGATTTTATAAATTGTTTCTTTTTAAATTTTTTTTTTTTTTTAATAAAAAAAATACTTTATGCACATCGTATTAAATTATTCTTTCTTTAATTAGATGGGAAGATTTTCTTGATACTTTTTCGTTTATTGATATTTAAAAATAGTTACTATTATTTAAACAATTACAACTTTTAAAAGTACGTTAAATGCTTGCGCTTAGCCAGATATAGTTACGTTTCTCCTGAACACCGCGTAGAGGTGGCAAGCTCCGTTCAGGTTAAGAATATTTGAACCACCACATATCAAATGTGATAGCTCA